CCTCTGATGCCCATGTGGGTGACTCTGGATTTTTCTGAGAATGGTTCTTGCTAAAGAGGTAGGCAATATTAGCTTACCTTCAGTCGCTCACCACCAGCCCTCTAGATATTGACTCATGGGCTGGTTTTTGTCTCTTCTGTAAAGACTTGTTGCTCTGGCAGGTTGGGATTGGGTGGTTCAGGTAAGACAGTGACCAATACAGAGGTGGCTGTTTCCTGTAATGCTACCTTCTTAGCAGCCTTGTCAGCTAGGTTGTTACCTCTAGCCACTGGTGCTGTTCCTTTTTGATTCCCTGGGAAATGAATGATTGCTAATTGTTTTGGCAGCCAGAGGGCTTAAGGAGTTGTAGAATTTTATCTTTCTGCTGAAAGCCATCATTGCCCTTCCTTCAGAATGTAACCAAGGTAGGTGACCTTGGTCCTGCAAGGTTGTGTCTTTTTAGCTGATGCATGAAACCCCATGTCCCCCAGAGTCTACAAGAGTCTCTGAGTCCCCCTTTGGCAACTCTCCTTGGAATCTGACACAATGAGATGGTTATCTACATATTTAATAAGAGTAATATCTAGTTGCTAGCCCAGTATTCACCCAGGTCCTCATGCAGAACTTCATCAAAGTGGTGGGTGCCTAGCATGAAAAGGGCCGCTGGGTTTAAATCCCTAGCTCAGCAAAAGCTAACAGAATCAAAGAAGGAAGTTTTTGACTAAAGCAATGGGCCTCACGATCAGATTTCAGGTGGCAAGATTGGCAAATTTGCAAACAGATGGGTATCACACAGTACTGTCTAAAGAAAGAGAACACACTGAGAATAAATGAGCAGAGCGAAAGAACTCAGTGATGTTGGAGAGAACACAACCATTCTCACAGCAGACTGAGGGGGAAGATGGTAACATGTAACAAAGATATCAAAAGAAATGACAACCAGGGAAGAGTGACCTCAAACTCATGGAGATCCACCTGCCTCTGCCACCTGAGGGCTGGGATTAGACACGTGGGTGTGTGCATACGTGCGTGCGTGCGTGCATACATCAACACAACCAGTCACAGAATTTGTGTGCTTGTCCAATGTGTGCCATGGTTTGCAAGTGAAGCACATTTTATGGGAAAAAAAGCACTCCAGCATTCCTTGAATCCCATGAGTTAGAAACATTTCAGTTCAGCCATGGATCCAACACACTCCAGAGTCGGCAGACAGCATTTATTGAGATGAAAACAACCCCAAAGAAGTCAACATAACCTGCTTAACTACTGGAGTTTCTTACGGATGACTCTTTGGAAATGAATAGTGAAAAATCTATAATACAGAGATCTCACATGAGATTATTATTCAGAAAGAAAATCAGTTTGTAGCTTTTGTATTCTCTCTATAGGTTTTGTGTGTATGAGTGTTTGCCAGCATACACGTATGGGCACCACACGCACACCTGGTACCCACTGAAGTCAAAGGAGTGCATTGGATATCCTGGAATTGGAGTAGTCACAGATGTTTGTGCCACTAAGGAGGTGTTGGGGGGCAAGCCTTGGTCCTCAGCAAGAGCCTTGGGGCTAAGCCCTGAGCCACCTCTCACCTCGTTGTTGTCTTTTATACGATTTCCCTCAAGAACACCCTTCATGGAGCAGAATGCATTTACTGCACCAGGCTTCTCACATTGTTTTAACTCGTAAGCTTTTTCTGAATTAGAAGTTTCACATGCCGGGCAGTGGTGGCACACGTCTTTAATCCCAGCACTTGGGAGGCAGAGGCAGGCGGATTTCTGAGTTCGAGGCCAGCCTGGTCTACAGAGTGAGTTCCAGGACAGCCAGGGCTACACAGAGAAACCCTGTCTCGAAAAACCAAAAAAAAGAAAAAGAAAAAAACAGAAGAAGTTTTCATGTGACTTTACAAGTAACTAGCATGGCTGATGTGGTCAGACCTTTAATCCCAGCACTCCTGATGCAAGGGCAGAGGGTCTCTGAGTTCAGGGTCATTTCAACAGCACATACTTACTCCAAATCAGTCAGGTCAGCCTGGCCTACAGAATGAGAGTATTTCAAAATAAGAAATTATGTTACAAACTTGGTCCTTTTCTGCTACTTGAGTTTTTTATTGAATTTGTGTGCTTGTCCAATGTGTGCCATGGTTTGCAAGTGAAGCCAGGAGTTCTCACCAGTCACCACGTGAGTCCTGAGAAATAAGTCACCATAAGAACGGACAGCAAATTCCCTCATCTGAGAAGTCATCTCATAGGCTCTTTCTGATTCTGGCTTGGCTTGGCTTGGCTTGGCTTGGCTTGGCTTGGTCTGGTCTGGTCTGGTCTGGTCTTGTCTTGTCTTGTCTTGTCTTGTCTTGTTTGGGGTGTGGGTGGGGTGGATACAGGGCTTCTCTTTATAGCCTTGGCTGCCCTGGAACTCACTCTGAGCAGGCTGGCCTCAAACTCACAGAAATCCTCCTGCCTCTAGAGTGCTGGGATTACAGGCATGTGCCACCACGACCTGTCTTATGTTTTGCTTTTTAACCTGTTTGCTTTGAATTATTATTATTATTAATTATTATTATTATTTCTTCTCAGTACATAACCTGGAATGTCCTCAAATTCATGGTAATTCTGTTGGTATCTCCTGAGCACTAAGATTAAAAGCATAAGCCACCATGTTCAGTCAAAGTGACTAGTAATTTTATTCTGGGCTAGCGATGGCCAGTGGTTTACACCACGTACTGATCTTGCAGGACTCAGGTTCAGTTCTTAGCATCCGTGTCTGATGGCTCATTCCACCTGTGAATCCAGCTTCATAGGACCCCATACCCTCTTCTGATGCGCTTGGCCACCTACACATGAGTACATATATCACCATATATTTCATCGCAGAATAAATAAAACACAAAACAGCACACAAATTAAAAAACAAGTCTTAATTTTTTTCTATTTATAATATTTTAAACTTTTTGATCTAATATGTACTAGTTTTTTTAATTTAAGGAGCAGTTTTACAACACTATATATGGTTCTCAAACTGATAGACATCTGCCTGCCTCTGCCCAGAAATGCTGGGATTAAAGGCTACCATGTGCTACCATGCCTGGCTGGATTAATCTTACCCAAGTGTCTTCGGCAGTGGTAGAATTATTCTTGGTAGACAAGCATTCGACTACAGCGCTACCCTCCTGTCCTCTGCCGGGCATTTATGTAGACAGGAGCCTATTGGAGGCTACCATTCACTGGTCACGTTCTACTGCGCATGCTCTCTCCAGCTGAGCATCTTCACTTTGTAAAACTGAAGTCAAACGGCATCGCTACACACGATATGCATACGGATTATCCCACTGTACAGCCTCAGGGATGTTACAAAGGTGTGTAGTGAGAGACTTCTTGTAGTCCCTAACACAGGGTACCTGTGCTTTCGGGTTTTTGAAGGAAACTATCACACGGAGGTTGCTACATTAGTGAAGTTTTCCTTGTGCGACCTCATGTGTAACTGGTAGTTTCTGGAGCGGCTGAAAGGTTTCCTACACTGTGTGCACTGACAGGTTTCTCTCCACGGTGGGGCTCTTTCCTGTTTTTGAAAGGTACTGGAGCAACTGAAGGATTCCCCACACTCTGCGCACACATAGGGCCTCTCTCCAGTGTGAGTTCTTGGTTTTAAATGGAACTGCAGCTAGTAAAGACTTTTCCACAGTCTCCATACTCATAAGGTTTCTATCCGGTGGGGGTTCTCTGGTGCCTCTGAAAGGAGCTGGAACAACTGAAGGCCCTCCTACACTTTGGGGACTCATAGGGTCTTTCTCCAGTGTGAATAATTTTATGTCTCTGGAGAGCACTGGGGCAACTGAAGGCTCTCCCACACTCCTGACGCGTGTCGAGAACTGGAGCTTTCCCAAACACTTTATACTCATAGGGTTTCTCCCCACTGTGCATGTTAACGTGCATCTGAAGGTACTTGGACCAGGTCAAGGTTTTACCACGCGTTTGACCCTCAAAGGATCTCTCTCCGGTGTTGAGTTTTTTCATGCCTTTGAAAGGAACTGGGACAGTTGAAAGATTTCCCACACTCCTTACACGAGTAGGGTCTCTCTCTGGTGTGGGTTCTTTTGAGTCTTTGAAGGGAATGTGAACTACTTAAGGTTTTATCACAATGTTTACATTCATAGGGATTTTCTGCTCTGTGCAGTTTTTCATGTAATTGAAATAAATGCTTCCCCACATTCCGTACACTGAGAAGGCCATTTCCAGTGTGAGTTATTGTGAGTCGTTGAAATGTAGTGAGAAGGCCATTTCCAGTGTGAGTTATTGTGAGTCGTTGAAGTGTAGTGAGAAGGCCATTTCCAGTGTGAGTTATTGTGAGTCGTTGAAGCGTAGTGAGGAGAGAGGAAGACTTCCTCACACTCCTTACATCCACAATATCCATCCCTCTCTCGTGGACTTTTACATGGATTCGAGGAGAACTCTGATGACCAGCTTTGCTACATGTGTGGAGTGTGTAAGGCCTCTCTTTGGTATGAGTCCTTAAATGTCTTTGCAGAGAACCTGAGGAAAACATGGCTTCCCACACTCCTTACATTTAGAGCGTCTATCTCTAGTGGGAGCAGTTTCAGGATTTGAAAAGTTTTGGGGGCTGGTGAGATGGCTCAGTGGTTAAGAGCACTGACTGTACTTCCAGAGGTCACGAGTTCAAATCCCAGCAACCACATGGTGGCTAACAACCATCTGCAATGATATCTGATGCCCTCTTGCGGGGTGTCTGAAGACAGCTACAGTGTACGTACATATAAAAAAAAAAAAAAAATTTAAAAAAAAAAAAAAAAAAAAAAAGAAAAGTTTTGGAAGTGCCTGCATCTTGACCAGGTTGGCAGGTTTTACGTTGAATATATACTTCTTCATGTGCCTGTAGCAAACTGGGGGACTTAAAGGCTTCTCCACATACTTTAGATTTACAAGGTCCATGTCCACTCTGTATTCTCAAGTGTCTTTGAAAGTTTGTTAACGAAATAAACAGCGCACCACAACCTTTGCATCCACCGTGTGTTTCTCCTCTTCATGTATCTTAGCTGGCTGAGTCTTCTCACCGTCTTCCTGACACTCAGAGTCTGTGTTCAGTGTGAACGCCCATGTGCCTGTGAAGAGAGTCGTGAGCAGTAAAGACTTTACCACACACAGTGTGCTCCCAGGGTTTGCCACTAGTTTCCTTGCTCAGACTAAGGTCTGAAATCTGGCTTTCTTCATATGAACCATATTCTTTTCTTTCTGGAAATCTCTCTACCACAGGACTTCTGTAAAAAATGAGATGCGTTAATCAACTAGACACAAACTAGGGTCCCTGGAAAGTAACCGCAGTTGAGAAATGCCTTCATCCGATTGGCTGTGGGCTTATCTACCTGGCATTATTTCTGACTAAAGTTCAAGAAGGCCAGCTCACTGTAAATGGCTACTCCCAGACAGATGGTCCCAGTTATACGAGAACGAAAGCTGAGCAAGCCGAGGAGAGGGCAGCCAGCAGCCAGTGTCCTGACGCGGTTCCTGCCACGGCTCCTACAGTGACGCACTGCTATCTGGAAGTGGGAGACAAAACAATCCTTCCCTCCTCACTTTGCTTTTGGTTAGTGTTTTATTTCTTAAAATTTTAAATTCATTAGAAGGAACTACACGTAGATTGTCTTGCTAAAACGGTCAGGACAAAAGGAAGGCTCTTGGGATTTCTTGAGCATAAACTAGGTAATTGTTCTGAAAGTGTTTGAATGCAACTAATATCAAAACACTAGTATTTAGATTTGGAGAATCTTGATAGAACTAAAACAGCATATACATAAAAATTAAAGAATATAATTGCAAAAAATTGAAGAGTAAGTAAATTGAAGCAGGACTTATTATTTGTACAATTTAGGTTTTTGTTGTTGATATATATATTCCCAGATACTAAAGAGACCCTACAGGTTGAATCCAACTTCAATGACATCATGATAAACCATGAGAGCTATGCTTTCAATAAACATATATATTCATTCCTTGCTCTGTTTCATACTAGCAGGAACTAGTTGCCCCAGTGAATACAAATCACCTTAGGCTTCTTCCAAGAACATCGTCCTGATCTTCAGTGTACTGATCTTCCCACTGTATTCCTAAAATCCAGAGCAAAGCAAACAGTAGAAATTACTGGACTTGGAAAAGTTACTCAGTTCTGTTTTCATGATCCAATGAGTCCCTGCTGATTCATCTAGAATATTCACTTTCATTTGCTGAGTCACTGAACACCATGGCTAATAAGACACGATTTTCTTCAGGTGATGATAGGAAAGAATGTTGTTATCCTTACCTACGGCAGTCAGGTTCCCGACAGTCTCTGACATCACATCCCTGTAGAGATGCTTCTGAGAAGGATCCAGCAGAGCTCACTCCTCCTTGGTGAATTACACAGCCACATCCTCAAAGATCAGCAACTCCTACAACATCCCACAGGACACACAGAGGAGGATGCATGAGACAGGCAGCACTGGGCACTATACTCAGTTTACGTGCGGTTTCTTTGATTCTGATCTACAGATGTTTATTCCATGATTCTTTTTTTTTGAGATTTATTTATTTATCTATCTATCTATCTATTTATTTATTTTATGTGTATGAGTACACTGTAGCTGTCTTCAGACACACCAGATCCCATTACAGATGGTTGTGAGCCACCATGTGATTACTGGGACTTGAACTCAGGATCTCTGGAAGAGCAGTTGGTGCTCTTAACTACTGAGCTATCCCTCCAGCCCTGCCCTGTTCCATGATTCTTACTTTCTATATTCACACTGCCTCAAAGAAACAAATCCACAAAAGAAGTGTTGATAGGGGCAACAGCAGAGCATGAACATCCCCCGGACAGTGGGAAGTGCAGTAAGACTTGAGCCTGAGTCACTCGGAGTTTCTTTTTCTACAAATGTCTAGTTCTATTCTAGAACAGCTCTATCCATGAGAGAGCTAGTCTTGCAATACTTAGAATGCTTTCCTTCAGAAATGGCTAAGCACGTAGGCACTTGCTGTCAGCCTAACAATCTGAGTTCAATCCAGAGAACTCACATGAGGGAAAGGGAGTCCAGCTCCTACAAGTTGTTCTTGGATGTCCACATATGAGTCATGGTGCAGACATAACCACACACACACACACACACACACACACACACAGACTTGTCTGCACAACACACACACATATATATTCATTCACACACAGACACCCATATACACATATTCACACACTCATTCTCACACAGACACACTCACACACA